ACTTTTTGTACCAGAAATTGTGAATGTTGTCTACACCAGGTGTCTTCCAGTTGTGTGTTTTGTTAACAGTGTAGCGGATGTCGTGTACGTTTATTTCAGCACAGGGCATAGTTGGTATGTTGTGCAAGTTTCTGTTCTCCTCCTCAATCCAGCCTGCATGAGCATTATATGTAACAGCATTGGACCAAAGAGAAGACCAATAAGTTGTGAGTTCTTCTTCTGTTGGTGTGCCACTGTGCTGTGTATCAGTGTTTGTTTTGGTACTGATTTGTCTGTAAAAGAGTTTTTTTATTGTTTGCAAATAATTTATTTTGTTGTTTTCACAGTGTACATGTTTTGTATCATTTGAGTGCTTTGGTTGCAATTTTTGTTTTAGTATAGCAATGTATTCTATAATGTGTGTGTTGTGATTTCATGTTTTGTGTGTGTTTTGATTTTCTTGAAAATGTTTTTGAGTTGTTTCTTCAATTTGGGTGTTATATTGTTTGTTTTTAGTGTATTATGTCAGCCTGCCTAATTGCTGTCTAATGTCATTTATTTGTGTTTCTATTCTTCTCTGCCAGGCAGGCTTGTGATAGAATTGTGTTTTGTGTACATTTCTGTGTTGTTTGTGGGATAAGGTTATTGTGTATATTTGTTTCTTTTTTTTTATTTTATTTAAAAAACCCCCTTGTTTTGTGACAGTGAGGTGAGGGTATTGCATGAACTTATCGTGTAGTAGTTATCTGTATGCTATCGTGTGTTTCCAGTGTTGTGACGGTGTAGTAAGTATGGATGATAAACTCCTTCATTTCCATTGTCTATTTCATCTGCTGGTGTGGTTTTCCAGCCTTTGTGGTTTGTGGATGCATTGTCAGAGAAACACCAAGGCTAGGTTGGTTCCTCACAACTGTCTAGGGCATTGCAGTAGCCATGCTTAAGTCAGCACTGCTTTTGCTGCCGGTAGCCAAGGGAGACTATTTTTCAAACATGGGTCTCTGCCTAACCCACAAATGTAGACCTTGTTAAGGTCTAATGATTCTGGACTTTTGTATAGTGTAAGTGGTATAGTGTGCAGAAAGAACTATAAGCAAAATAAAGCATCTGTGGCAAATGGATAAAATACTTATTTCGTGGGCAAATTCTAAATGCATTATTTACTCATTTTTTTAGAATGTGTTTGGAATAGATATGTCTATGTTGATTGTGATGTCTAGTGTGTTGTGATAGATTGTTTCATCTTTGTTTGTAGTGTTTATTTTAAATTTTTATTGATATTCTGTATGCTAATTTCATTGTTATTTTAACATTTTTAATTGGTAATTGGTAATGTTAATTAATTTACATGTAATCAATGTGTAACAATTAGCCTTAATATATATAATTAATGTACCCCACATCAATTTTTCATCATATACAGTACATACAATTAAGTTAATTATACACAATACTTAATTTTTTAATTCTTGTTTTAAGGGATTTCCGGCCGAATTTGCGATGTACTTGAATTACTGTCGAGGTCTACGCTTTGAAGAAGCACCAGATTATATGTACCTGAGGCAATTATTTCGCATTTTATTTCGCACACTTAATCATCAATATGACTACACATTCGACTGGACTATGTTAAAACAGAAGGCCGCCCAGTCAGCAGCAGCAGCCGGTGCATCACAGGCGGTAGCAACAGCCGGTACGTCATGACTTATCTACCAGAATTTACTATTCTAATTTTACCGTCTTGATTAATTAAAACTTTTTCTTTGTAGGTAATCGCTAAATGGATTACTACATAGATAATAATTATAAAAAAAACAACAAAGAAAACCAGAGCTGGCTGTCATGCCAAGTAGTGATTTTTTTTGACTTGAAAACACAGAGTTCAGAAAAAATTGATGCAGTAGTGGAAATCTGCATGAACTATTGGAGCATTGATTGAATACACTGTACAAATATGACTTTAACTTTCAGTTGCTCTATATGCCTCCACAACTGCAGCTGTTTATATGGGTATCAGTGACTCAGAATCATTATTATATTGACTTCCTCACTTCAAAATAGGCAAAAAAAAATAACAAAAAAAAAGTTGGTGTTTTTTGGTGTCTCATACTGAATGGGTTCCGTTTTATTTTTATGTAAAAAAACAGTTTTGTCAATGGAGATGTAACAACATTATAAGAAATTCTGTGACTGGTAATGCATTTTCAATTTTTTTTTCTTTTTTTTTTATGTTCCAACAGCAGATACAATATTATTTCTATATCTTATTTGTGACGTGTAATGTGTTAATCGTTTATATATACCTTTCAAACTGTGAATGTTCATATTATACTTCCAACATCTAATAACTTTTAACTTTTGTAAACTGTTTAAGAATTACACAGGAATATGAATTTTTCATTCCAGTATATTTTACAGAGGTTATAGTATAAAAAAAAATTTTTTTTTGTTAATGTTTATTATTGAAAGTAGCCAACATATATTTTATAGAATTTTCTCAGTCATTGCTATAATCTCATGGAAAAAGAAAAAACAAAGTTTTTAAAAGGTCTAGTGCAATGTTTGCAGAGATCCAGAAGAAAAAAATCTGGTCATTAGTAAAAAAAATATATATATATATATTTTGCATTCTTTGTTTGAAGGTACTTTAAAGTCTTGTACATATTACAATTAAAACTGTTAGTTTTAATTTGTGCTCAAAGTACAAACTCTTATTCTTATCATAAAATGGGTTACCAAAAGGGGAAAGCGTATATAAATAGATAACCTCTGAAAAGGGAGTGTCACCATTTAGGTAGGAATGGATAAAATTCGGGGGTAATTTCATCTTAAACGAAGAACCCGTATTAAAATTCTGTTGCGTTTACGTAATAAGAAAATAATAATTTCTTCCATTATTTAAATGTTTTAATGCCACATCACAGAAATTCTGCTAATCTATTGTGTCTCTGTAAAATTAATAGACTATAATAAAAATTCCAAACAAGCCAACGTCTACTAAAGAGAAAAGTAGTAGTGCTAATCACTAGAATGGCTCTAATGTGTACTGATAGTGTATGGTCTGCAAAGAACTGCATCTTCACAAATTACCTACAAATATGATTGATTTTTTTCTATATAATGAATATATAAAGTGTGTATAGACAAGATAAGCAAGCACATACTACTGCAGTTTCTCTTCTTTATTGTGAACATTGACAATAAATAGTGTCTATAAAAATCATTAGTGGACATTGTTTTTAATAAAAATTTTCATAACATAAATAAAAAAAAATTAAGATGTTAAAATATTGTATAATTTTTATTAGAAATAATCTGTACACTTTAATATTAGAAATGCAAATAGATTATTACTCAATTATAAAAGTTGAAACTAATTTTCAAAATATATTGATACAAATTATAGCTAAAGTTTATACTTACCAAATACACTTTTTATCAAGAATTTGGATAAAAGTGTCGTTGCCAACCGGCGCGGAGTGTCACGTTAGTTTGCCGGATTAATTAAGGACCTCCTCCAATTACCCGCTCTGCAATTAGTCCATTCTTAATTCGGTTAGTATTACTGGAGGGAATCCATTGCACCAGAACACCTGCAGAATAGGATTTGTTCTCCTTTTTGTTTCGTGGATGGATTCTCGAGATTAAATTGGCCTCCGCCGGACCAATTTAATCTTGGCCCTGTTTGTAAATTTTCTCAGAACTCTGATTTCATTTCTATTTAACATTACTATTGTCTTGATACATAAACTATCAGTTCTGATAAAACTGTTTCTTTTATTCATAAAAAAGGTTTGAATCCAGTCTTTTTGGAAAAGTAGTAGTTTATCTATCCAGCATAGTAGCGTGATACTCATAACTGTTATGCATAAAATATCTAGAAATTGTTCTCCACAGTCAATTAAACTACATCATTTAGTCTTGCAGACATAATTTTAGCAAAACTACAATGGTAAACTGTTGATTTTTCTATCACTTGAAATTCTGTCAAGTCTTCTAAAAGGATGCTCGTTCTTCCATCCGGCAATTATTATTATTATTTTAATGAAATGAAAAATAATTGCCGAACCAAAAAAAAGTTTTGTATAGCAATATAGTAGGAAACAAATATTGAACAATACTTATAGCATTTACTGGGTATTCATTCTAGCCCAAACTACTTTGAATACAACAGATTTCAATCATTTGCGTAAACAGTTATTTGGCATACCCTAGTATAGAATTTCGAGGAAACACACACACTTATGAGTGTCCAGTATTCTCTCACAGACTCACAGTTTCAAACAAAAAGAATACAGCCTGTCAGGAAGAATCTGTATATGATGTAAACCAAAATCCTGAAATATATTTGTTTTAGAATACACAGTAGACCTTTATAAGTCAATCTTTTATTTTATCCGACTTTTTCATTATTCAGTCATATTTAATGCTAATGAATATGTAGAGGGTATACGAATTTTAAAGCAAATATTCCATACTTTCATCGGTTTAGAAACAAGACTTTTCACTTTTAGAAAACTAATTGTATACTGAATTCGATGGTGCTGCAGCCATATCAAGCAACCAGTTTGTTACAGTGCGACTTCAATTAAGTAAGATTAATTAATAAGATAATCGAGTAACATTCTCCGACAAATTGCCATCCAGTTGGCGCAGTGTGTAGTCCCATTGAGCGAATTTCGGTGGTTGGATCCGGAAATTCCGCAACGCGTTGCGGTCGATTTTTTCGGTCTTCGAGCCTAACACCTATATTAAAGAATTGGTTTGGAATACAGTATATTGTTTTACGATTGATTATCCGTAAGTAATTTTATTCGTATATCAATTTTATATACCTATATAACTGGGTGGCAAATGGAAACCCCCGATATAGAGGATTAACGACCCTCAAAGGAAAAACGAAGCATAGTGTATGTGCTTACGTAATTCAATTTCATTCCACATTTACATGTCTTGGCATTCTTACGGATCCCTTAATAATGATATTTTTATCTTTCGGTCTGTCCTGCACCAATGCTACTTATCTACTTTCTCTAGAATGGGAAGAGAGAGACTCCTTTCTTCTCGTACTTGTAATTCCGGATGGTGAATGGTAATTTTGTATTGTGACGACAGACTACATTAGAAATACGCAACTTCTGTCTGTAAGGTAAATTTTTGTTGAGCATTAAAAGCGTTTATTTATTTTCGACCTGCTTTGCATAGTTACGTCATTCAACATCGTGTAGTTATGTAAGTTGAGTTTCTTGGTAGGAGTGATGTACTGTAATGTTTTTTCAAAGATCGCGGTAATTGTGTTCCTTTTTGGTTAGCTCGTTATTATTGGATTTTAGAATATGACAATAATCAACTGAGGAACAAATTGCATTTCGTATTTTCCTAGAAATTGGAATTTTATATGGTTAGGAAATAATCCCGGTACGATTGTCGATCGGAATTATTACGTACGGTACGTTACGTTTGTACCAATTTTTTAAAAATCTCGAACCATTGTAAAATGTGGTGCAAACGGAGTCGTTGAGGCGTACGAAAGTCGATTTACACGTAGAAAACAAAATGTCGGACGTGTTCTTCCACAGAAGTGGGTATTCGGTGGAATTTGCAGTGTTTTTTAGTCACCATGCAAGACCGTTCGGCTAAAATGTCGATTAATGCAATACGAAATAACGTGAAAGAAGGTAGTATAATATATTCGGACTGTTGGAAAGCGTAGCAAAAAAGACAAGTTAGAAGAAGCCGGATACGAACATTTGCCAGTAAATCCCAAGTATAAACTTCGTAGACCCTGACAATTTCATTAGTCGAATAGACACAATTTTTTCTAATGTTATCTACAACAAACTGTTCCATTCGCAGCCGAATTTCAAATAGTAATCTGCCAACCGATCAAATTTCCAGAAAACGAACCAAACTTTGCGCCCTGGAAACCACTAAAATGTTATTTTGTGCTGACCGGTAACTTCGTATTATGTAAATTTCCTATTCGAATGCCACCGTGCCGATGGATCCGATAGGAAGAAGGCCGAAGTTAATTCGACCGAACGTAGTAGATGATCAATGACTAATGGTCTACTATTAATACAGTATTTGAATGAAGCAATGCTGCCACGATAATAAATAGACAGGTTTCGAATCGACATTACGAGTGACGTCTTGAGCATACGCAATTGTCCGGCGCCATCTTTGTGGTCTACGTTTTATTTGTGTTTACGCGCGCTTTGACCGGAGTTCTCGCGTTGTTTATTCGTGGCTAATATCACTATGGTGAATTGTGGTGTAATGCTAGTTCACTCGAGAACAAAGGAACGTCATTTTTTTTAATTCACGGCATTATTTGTCATCCAAGACCCCAAATTTGGGAGCTTTCGCCACGAAGGCAATTTACGTGGCTCTGAAGAATTGACCGGAAAAATTTCAATACGGATAAAGTGAATATCGATGCAAGAGTTTGTCAGAAACATTTCATTTCGGGTAAGTATTAACATTTCATTACTAAATGATTAGTTAAACTTTTGCAGGAGTATCACGAGTCATTTGCATAAATCCTTTTGTTAATACCGACAAAATGAAGTTAATTTTAGTTTGAATAGATCGTGTTCTACCCTTATTTTTCACCTTTCGGTTTGTTTTCTTAGTCTCTACCTGTAATATATATACAGTAGAGTTAATATTAGTGTAATCGCTTAGCGGATAAAGAATTAGAAATGAATTTTTAGCCGATTGTCCTTCCGGTCTAATTTACATAAATAAAAACGTGTGTATTTTTTAGGATATAAACCAATAATTTCCATTCTTCACTTACAAATAGGTTATTTTGTAAGTATAACGTTAAGCAGTGTCAGCAGGAAGTTTGGGGCAATGGGTTAATAAGGGGAAATGAAATCGGAAGGGGGCGAAATGTTTCGTTGTAGTTAAGCGATATCGCGTTTATGAAAAAGTTATTCGAATTGGTTTATTTGATTTCGACAAAGCGATATGCCGAGGAGGATGCATCGCGGAAAGACTTCTGTGTAAATCTGACGCCAATTTAAGTGTTACTAACGCCAAGAAAATCCGGTAAAACTCCGCCTGTCCCGAAAAGAAATCAACAAATCATTGGTCTGTTAGTGGTAACCGCCGGTGGAATGGACTGGACTGTCCCGGCGCGTATTCTAACGAGCGACTGGACACAAAATGCGTAATGGGAATTTTGAATTGTGCCGAAGGGAAAGTAGGTAATGCCGTGCCCCTAAGAGAAAACTAAGATAACACAATCATCAAAACTTTTCAAATAGTATATGTTTAAAGTGTACTTTACATCAATTTCTAACGTTAACGCTCGACGGTCGGGCATTGGCACTGGTAACTTCATTTCAAGATTGTACGTAGATCGATAGTCACGTTTACAATCATTTGGAGCTTACGTTTCTGTCTTGGTCTTCTCTGATTTTCGCTTTCTAACGCCTGTACTTTGTGATTTTCTGGAGTAGCTGTTAGAATTCGCGAATGTTCACACAATTTCCGCAATTTAGTATTGTTTGAAATACAACAAACGAGTGAAATATCACCTAAAGGAAGCTTACGTAAACCTCTTTGCCCTTCGCCACAATATTGCATTCCGAAGCGTTTTGTTGGCAAAATGGCATGTTATAAATCAAGCAAAAAGCGGGAATGAGATGCTAAATGTATATTGTATAGTTTATACACGTGTTAAAAACTAACAATTTAAAATAAATGTACGGATAGTTTTTACCCTAAGGATATACTTTAGTGGGGACATAAGGTTTAGTTTCTCCCTAGTTGTGGGGTGTTCTTTTTAAATTAGCATGATTTTAAATACGTTACCTTTTGTATATAATGAGAGATGTTCGTTCTTTCCTTTATATATGAAATAAAAAATATATTAGTAACTCGTCTTCTAGAAATAGCGATTATTTATTTACGGTTTAATTGACTTTAAGAGAGTACGAGTGTGGCGGGTCTTTGTTTCTTAGTGAGCTTTTGAATTGAAATAACGTGACTTCCGGTTTGCATCTGATGTTCGTATATAGTTAATCGGGGCCAAGATGCCCCGAATATTTCCTTATCCGGTCTCGTCTTTCATACATCTAACTCTTTCCTCGAGATTAAGGAATGACGGACGGACAATGGGAATTTATAGATCTATAGATTTTTTAAAAGTGCAGCCCAATTATATCGGGTGCCAGCGCACACCGTAAACAACAGTCCAGTCCTTATTCTAAAGTTTTTTCCCCCGATGATTTTACTCGCTTCTTACTGTTTACGGTAAAGTTAAACTTGTGTAAGCAAAATTATCTAAAAAGAAAACGTTTCCTTTACACAGATTATCAGAAGTGACGGAAGTTGCCGATTTACGGGATCGATTTCACTTATTCTTGTACAGTTTGCAGCATTTTATCCGAAAAACAAATAATTCTACGGCATATTTTCTCTGGTGTGTGACTTCACTTATCGCTAATTCGATTAGGTTTTTCGTTTTATCTATCTTTTCCTGTCTGGGAACGACCACTTACTTATTATTACTAAGTATTAACTGAGCTTGGAGAAAGAGATAAGTAAAAAATGTAATAATCTTTCTATATTTTGGGGGGTTTGGATTAATGTTCTAACGTTTAATTAAATAATGATGATAATTGATTTTTTTGAAGTAAATATTATTATTTTCTGGTAGGAATGTTAATGGAATTTTAACAAAATGTGATTTATTACTTGTAATTTGAAGATATTTTGAATTTATAAATGTCTTTTTTAAGTTAAACACTGTATTGTATAATTATTAAATAGAATGGTCAAATTCCAAAGGACATTATACTAAATTATCTATCGAGATAAATTATTGCAAGTGGTGCCAAAACTATATGATGGAAGCCAAATCCTAGCTGTATAGGAACAGTATGTAATATATTTACATGCAGAAAACTAACTTTTCTATTATTTAATTAATTGTTATTTGATTTAGATTATGAAAACTAGAAGCTACCCGTATCTGTCTGTTTTGTTTGTTGTTTGTTACGTTACGGCGGAGAATTTCACTTTAAATGGAAGAGTGGTACCTGATCCGGAGATCTATAAGTATCATTATAAACCTAATAAGGACGAAATAATCATCAGAGAATACGTGTTGATGGAGACTCGTTCGCGGAGTGCGCTTCTCTGTCCCAAAGATTATAGTATCAAAGATGCAAGTATCAACATAGTCTATGACAAATCCTATATTACAATTTCTTTATATACATGTTTGATATTGTTAATTCTAGTTAAGTATGATGCTAATTGTTGGAAACAATTCCAATTCTACATTAAAAAATAAAGAATGGGCAGAGCATCCTCAAATTCTTACAGACAGAGATGAAAGTAAGAAGTTTTTATTTTGCTGTTGAAATTGCAGTCATCTAACATAATATTTTAGAATATAGAAAAATGATTTTATTTTCCTTGTAATTTAAAACAAATTCTTAAAACTTAAAACTATTATTAAATTAATAGTATGTAATAATTTAAAAATAGAGTAATAAATTTAAACAAAATAATTAGGTTATGCACTTGTACACTCGTCGGTATAACCAAATAGTAAATATAATACATCAAAAGCTTGCTGGTAAATGAAAACTTCTACGCACTCTGAAACCATGCTACAAATATGGTAGCGTAAAATGGCTCGCAAAATATAGTAATGATCGTGCCGTAATTGCAGACAAAATGGTCCGTGGCAACGGACCAGATATCACATTTAATGACAAACAAAACAAAATCACTTACGTCAAAGACAAGTGTACAAAATACATACAATGAAAAAATTAGTAAATACTCAGAACTTGCTCACAAAATAAATTGTCTGTAGAGAATGGGTGAAGAATGTACTGCGCCGGTAGTCCTTTCGTGCACTGGCATCAAATTGCATACATTACGGCTTCGTAACGGCGCGTACAACACGCTACAAAAGGCCTGCACGTAGTCGTGAAATTCTTAAACAGATATGTACACGAACAACTTAAACAAAACATTTGTTTTCTGTAATTTGACTTTGGTCTGAAATAGCATTAGCCACTGCTGTATATACCAGGTAGGATATGTTCCGAAACCACCACAATAATAATAAGTTTAATTCAATATTATATAAATCCCAAATAAGTCCAAATAATAAATAAATAAAAAAAATCACCTAAGTCCATGATATTAAATAAAAGAACATATAACATTAAATTAAGATATAAATAAAGGCAAAAGTATTTACAATTTATGGTTTCTTCAAAGTTGATAATATAGAACAATGCATTATTGAATACTTTGTAAGCTTAAACTGCTTAAATTTTAATTTTAAAAATGTTTTTGGATCAATACAAGCTTTTGTTAACTCATACAATCCAAGTAATTTTTAATTTATTTCATATAAAATATATGCTCTCTACCTCAAATTAGTAGTCTTGCCACCATACATTATACTTTTCCTTTAACAATAGAGTCGTGCCGATTGTCTATTGAATGCCTTTCGGGGAAATTTTTAAATTGAAATAAGGTGACTTCCAGTTTGCATTGGAAGTTTTGTATATAGTTAATTGGGGTCTCCCGTCCCTAAGGTTTTCGTATCCGGTCTCGTCTTTCATCTCGAGATTAAGGAAAGACGGGTGGGCGACGACAGAAATTTAGTCTACAATTTTTTCAAATTGCAGTACAACAAGGAATTGTTTATAAATGTTTTCGGCCCATCAAATTAACTTTTAAATACATTTAATTAGTAAAGTTTAAAAAAGAAAAAGAAAATTCTATTATTTTAAAATAATAATGCTTAAATTTAATCTACAGAAAAAGAGGTAGCGTGTCCGACTTTGAGCAGATGCATTTCGTTTCAAGCCTGTTTGTTTGCATTTGGAATTGAATTTTGCAACAGAGATCCCGCACCGGGTATCAGGAAAATATTAAATGTTAATATCACCTGTCAGAAATCGTGGAATGAAAATGAAGTTATATTTTTGCACTACGTAAAACCAAACGAACGTCGGATCGATCTTTCCGATATCGAAATAGAAGAAACGATACAAGACGCTACGTCGGTATTTAACATAGAATGCCCTTCGCTTAAGAAAGCCATAAGAATGAAGTAGGCAGAGTGTAATATTGTAACAATAATTTTAAATTTATATTATTATCATTTAGAAGAAGAAAAAAATAATAATTTATATTACAGCTATGGTGGCTACTGTAATAAAGAACCTCCTCCACCCACTCTTATTAGTGAATATTTATGGAAAGTATTAGGAAGGTAAATGTTTTAGTAAAGTCTTACTCAAATTCTGTACTATGTTTCTATATATAGATATATAGTAAGTGGCTGTCTACTTAGTTATAAACAATTCATAAATAAGCTTTGTACTAGTTTAATGGTTATGCAGTGTTTCTTTTTTTTTTAAAATATAATATTAGTGTTAGTGGTGTTATTCAAATATGATGTAGAAATAAAATACATTAATAAATACCGAAAGAATCAAACTTAACTTTTTAATATTGTAGAGTATGGAACAAGGACTGTCGAGAAAAAATCAAACAAGTTTATTGCGCTTACCAATATAACAGACAAGGTTCGTGCGTACCGCCATTTTATCTGCAAAATATGGTAATTTTAATCTATTAATATTGTATAAATTTAATACTATTTTTTTTAATGATTTTTTTAAATTTTGAATAGAAATTTGGGAAAGTTATGTTCAATAATTTGTCACTTCCAATTCATCAGATTCTTCATGATTCTTCAAAACTGAAAGAATGTAAGCATTTATTTCATTTAGTATCTTTAAAATATCTTTTAATTGTTTCCTTTAAAATTGTAGACAATTTATGAGAAAAATTATTTGGCATTTTGACTCAGAAATATAATATTGATTCATTGATATATCATAAAGTATGGATCAGATCTTAACCCATATCACTATAGTGGGTATGCAAGCATCTTAATGTGCAGCCATTTGAACAATCAAAATTAAATACATAAATCTATAAGTTCTAATTAATTGGCATATTATACATACATATATATGATTAGATGAGCCTAAAGAACTTTAAAATGAAACATATCCTAAGTTAAAAGTTTAAGACAAGACTTAAGAAGCAGTGTTATACTTAAAAATTCACAAAATAAATTTTTAAAAAGGATAATATATTAAAAATGGGTACGTTCGTAAAGTCAAACAAATTAAATGCGTTACTAACAAGTTGGTCGCTTATTTTAAATCTTAATTTCCTTCTAGTATCGACAAATGAAAATCGCGATTTGATACCCGCTCGGCTTGCTTTCTTAATACTCGTTCACGAGGATGTCGACGCTGTGGTAAATAAAATATTGTGACAATAATAATATATTCTTTACTATTATAATAATAATAATATCAAAATTTATTTGCAGATGCAACTTCTTATACTGATTTACAGGCCGTACTTCTTTTATGTCGTTCACGTCGATAGCAATTCCGAACATACAAGAGAAGTAAGAAGTTAAAAAGAAATTTGGTTAAATTATCCTTTAATAAATTAATAGATACAAATTAAATTTTTTAAAAATTATATTAGAGACTTGGTGAAGAAATTAAAAAAGCTTTCTCTGATTCATTTAACATTTACGTCCTCCCCAAAGAGAGATCTTTTAGAACGTCTTGGGCTTCGTACGAAATTGTCAGGGCACAATTAGAGGTATTTTCTGTATATTATAAGAAAATTTACATATACTCGATCTATTAAAAGCTGTATCCTTCTAGTGTTTTGAGGAATTATTAAGAAGAGGTCTCTGGGATTTTGCAATCAATCTCAGCGGTGCAGATTTGCCTCTACGTGACGTAGATGATCTCGCAGCTGCACTTGCAGATTACAGAGGTTTTTGCATAATTATGTTATAAAATTCTTTAAATATTATTTTAAATTTTTAATAATTTTTATGTAATATATTTACCAGGCTACAATTTTTTTTCTCATGCCATTCCAAGAAATGCCAAACCTAATCATCCCTATTATAAAGAGGCATTGTAATCATTTTATACTTTTATTTTTAACATTATGGAATAAACACATTAAAATTAATCGATTTAGATATTTAATTTTAGATTTGCTTGCGACGGATACGTATACAGTGTTACTTCGACGGACGGACAACCGAAATTTGACGAATTTCAGATTTATTCTTCTTCACAGTGGGGCGTCTTTCATAGGTAATCATAATTTTTAAAAAATCATTAAATATCTTGACAAAAAAAATTATTTAAAAACTATTTTCTCGCAGAGATTTTGTAGAATATGTTGTGAATGAGAAAGTTAGAACAATGGTATTCAATAAATATCAGTTTTTGCTTCAAACTACTATTGTTCCCGACGAATCTTATTTAATTACAGCATTAATGAATTCTCCTATGAGGTAATAAAACTTAACTTTTAAGCTAATTATTATTTAAAACATCAACTAAAATATAAATTTACATATAAAATAATCATATGCAATTACTAATCTTGAATGTCAGCCTACGCTTATGTATACATTAAAGTTAGCAAAAAACATAAACTGAATTATCTATTGGTTTTAACTGTGCTAATTATTAAATAATCAAATTATGTAATTTGGCCACTGTCTTGTGTAATATCAATAATTAAAAATTAAGTTTGAGAAACTTCTAAATTTAATTTAATTCAAAGAAAAGATCAACCAATAACTATACAGATGTGTTATCACTTTTGCTAATCAGACTGCCAACAACTGCTGGATGGCCAAGGCGGTGAAAGCATCAGTCTATTAGTCTAGAGAATCTGGGATTTAATCCAGACAAGCAACTCCCCATGGACATTCTATCCCAGATATGTTGAGCTCCATCCTTTACCACCCGGTCACCCCATTGCAGCTTCTCCAAACCCACTATGGATATGAAAAAAGGTCCTCGGATGCCCACGGGAAGGAAAGAGCCAAAAATGAAAAAGTTATTCGCCGTAGGCTTGGCCAGGCCAACAATGGAGAGAGATAGACCTGACATGCTCGCAAAAAATTCAGAGTTCCCCAGAGCAGTAAGCTGACATCTTAACTGCCTTGTCTTTTTGACCATCAGTTTAATTCTTCTGATCTGGAAATTGTTCTTTTAGAATAAAATTATTGTTGAATTGAGAAGTTTGAAAATATTATTAACAAAATAAAAAGTAATAATTTACATGTATTCATCTGCTGTTTATAATAACCTGTATCATTGATTTACAATAAGAATTATATATTTTCTAATACATACATTTTTTTCATTATCATTTTATAAACCTGAATATATTCAACCACCTGTTGTAGATTTTACAGTAAAGAACTAGAATGTCATTTCTGTTATTACTGAAAATATTAATGAAGTTATTTATTCATATTAGTAAATATAAAAATTACAAAAATGAATAGAAGTAATGGGAAAGTCCATATACTGTATATAATTATACATAAGAGAACTGTGTGTTGTGTATGTTTATCATATATATATTAATAAATAGTTTCAAATTTTTAGCTATACCCTTAGAAAAGTCCAAGTGCATTACTATAAAACGTATTCGAAAGTAGATCGGAAAAACTTGTGTCGTCACGACAATCAAGACTCCGATTTCTGCGGTCAGGTAAAATTTTGAAATCTGCTTCTCTTAAACTTTCTAATTAATAAATAAAACATTCTATTTATGCATATTTTAAGGGACCGGCTCATTTTGAAATGAATGATATGGAAGAACTTATTTATTCCATTTCTCATAGAGTATTTTTTGCAAGAAAATTTCAGTCAATACAACATCCTACAAGAAATGCTATCATGTCTTTAATTCAGGGAGGTTATTACTCTTCCATAGTCAGATTTCTTCCATCTTCAATTATCAAGTAATATTCTTGACAAAATAACATAGAAATTTTTGGTTTTATTGTCGTTTGATATCCGTGTATGTGCTATACAGGAAATTAGCTTCTTACGCAATGACGCAGTTACAAGAAGAAAATTATGCCTATAAAAATTATAAATTTGTCGACATTGCCAACTTTCAAATATTTCCTAGATTATATCCGGATAATCCGTGCTGTTACATACCATTTCAGAATGGAATAAAAAAATTTTTAGATTATAGTTACTGGATTGATTTTGAAATAGTAAGTGTTTTAAATAAATAAACTAATAACTCTCTCAATTTATCCTCGTATTTGATAAGAATAATTTAAAATGCTAATGGAATTGTGAATTATAATTAATGTCTTTAACGATCCCTGCAGGATTCGACGAGAGATCAAATGAAAAGAGTACGTGCATTGGTTGTAAGTATAATATTATTCATCTATAAGAAATTAAAATGTGAAAATTTTAATTGTTAGTTAATATTTAAACGAATTTATAAGATTATTTCATTACTATATTAGAAACAGAGTCAGTTTAAAGTATAGACAACTAAGGCTTTATACTTCCATCCATAGCACACATTTGATATTATACTTTATATGAAAAAGACATCACAAGTGTACATTTGCTTGAGTCTCACATAATCTAAAATTGCCAGTGCTTGCAGTTCATTTCTAAAACATTTTATACAAACTATAATGTTTTTGTTTCCACATTAAAGATAATTTTAGAAAATGAAGTAAGTACTATCATCTTGGAAAATGAATTAAGCATTCTAAAATAAATAAATATATATATATTTATGTACTGTACATACACACACACATATAACTTCTCTATTTTATGATGCTATTTGTTGGTTTTTGTCAATTCATCTTAAAAACAAAATTGGAAAATAACATTTTCAGTAACAAAATAGTTGTATTAAACTTCATTCTCTTTCAGTTAAATTAAATTTTTTAAAGATATTCATATACATGTACCATATTTTTGCAGAATGACTAGCATGCCAGTCAATCTGAGGGAGATCACAAAATCATATATTTCTGTACGCTAAAAGCTGAAATGGTTTAAGTGACATTATACATCCCTCTCTAGAGAGTGCATTAAAAAACGAACCAGTTTTTATTCTAAAACTGTGAAACTGTCAGCATTACATCAATATGTTTAATTTCTTCATTTTGTCTTCTTTCTAATACTCGTGGAATTCCAAAAGTGCTTTTTTAACGTGTATTTTATTATTATTATTGTTATTTGATTCAAAAATGCAAAAGTAAACATATTAAATTTATGCTGTAAATTATCGACTTTATGTGAATTTGAGAGGAAGGTCAGGGTAGATGCTGTGCTACTAATGTCAATAAGTTAATTGTTTAACAACTAGTTTTGTTAGATCTGATTAATTTTATATTTTAACCAGTATGCTGGTCTCCCTTTTTTATATGACATGTCAGTCATTCCACACAAAAATACGGTATGTACTAAATTAATAATAATATTGTACATGGTTTTAATGGATAAAAGGAAGAATCAAATAATTGATTGCAAAAGGTAGAACTAAATGCCTAACCTGACAAATGGCCAAAATATCCTCATTATCCTACTCTCTCTTCTTTATATTAATATTTCAAATAACAAATTTTTAAAATTTTTCAAACAGATTATGTAAAAAGCAAATACTAAATGAATACCAACAGTAAAATTGTACTCATAATGAAATTATTCATATTCATACTATTAGTATTATTATTTTAATTTTAAGTAAAACTTACAAATTTCATAAAATCGATTTAAATTTTAGAGACCAAAGTTTAATGGATTTCAATGTTTTGGCGAAGGACATCTTCGGATGGCATTTGCAACAACGTGGACACGAACTGTTTCAAATGGCGAAAAGTAATAAAAATTACGTAATTAATTTCTCAGTTAAAATACATTATTATGAAAATTAATAGAGAATTAACTATTTAATAGGTGGGGTTTAGACTACAGTTTACCACTACCATATTTTCCAGTTGAAACTAAATATATTTGGTTAATTCTTGTTTTCCACGGCAATGCCGCAAATACTCAATGTGAAGGTAAATTTTGTTAAATTAGATCATTTTATAATTTCGACATATTAATTTATTATGTATCCTTTAGCAAAAAGAAACAGCCAACCTATAATTTTCACAGATCTCGATCTCAAACAAGTAAAAGCACAACCATTAAATATTATGACTCGTATCACTTATGAAAATGGTCCTTCTCTATGTGAACAATCCCATATAATCGAATGGAATAATGAAACATTATTAAAAGATGATGATGTAATTTTAAAATATTTTTTAATATGCGATTTAATCTTTTATATAAAATTTAAAAAGTTTTCCTCTTATTAGGATATTCCTTCCGATCTCTTCGTTCATTCACTGAAACTAGAATGCGAGCAATTACATCCAGGAAAATGGGATGTTGAAATATTCGCAGTATGAAATGTTTATAATTAATTAAAATTCATTAATGTGTGTTTTAAAATTTAATTCATTTTTTAGGAAAACGAACTAGACCCATTTATTTATAAGATTCCATTGTATTTAGTTGATCTGAAAGAAATGATTGGTAATATTTTCATATTTTTTTTTAAATTTTGATTTATTTTCATTTATGTTTGCAAAATATTCCAGAAAATAATTGTGAACCATCTTGTCCTTGGGAAAATGAAAAAGATTTATGGGAGATTTATTCAGTTTCTACTTTGCCATTTCCTGATTTTTATAAAGAATCGTCTTGGAAGGATATAATTGTATATCTTATACTGTTTAATTTATAAAATCCATGTAATCTTGCATTATTATATCAATTTATTTTGCAGCCAATTAAAACTTCGAGTTGTCGCAATTCATATAACAAAAAAGAATTGTGGTAAATACTTTTTCACAGTTAAGTTTAAATCATTTTAAATGTTTTTTAAAACAATTATTTTTTTCTGTTAGCATTAAAGAATGGTTGACATGTAATGGAGGCACAATTGTTGTTCTGATGTGTTCATTATTCTTTTATAAATGGTAAGAAAAGCATTAAGTATTGATTATAGTCCATTTTTACTATAATATTTTGAATGTTTATTTTAATTTTCCAGGATTTTAAAACCAATTATAAGTAGAACACTGCGAAATCCACTGAGACAAACTACTTATAATGTTCTTATATTAATATTCATATTTGTAATACAAGAATTATTATTTTTTCACTGTTGTAATTTATAAGAAGTTAAAATTTGTAATAAATTAATCTAATTTTGCATTGACTTTCTAAATTTTAAGTTCCTTATTAGAGTAGAAGAGAATCACTTTTTGAGAAAAACAGCCAACTGACCATCTGAAGCATTTTCTTATTACTGTATGAAATCAGTGTTCAAATCCTTATTATTTATTATGGCTAAAGCAGATCAAGATATACTAATAATGGGCAAAATTATGACTATGTAGCCTTAAGGTGCTGATATCTTACATTCATTAATCACTCTTTTTCTATCTCAGTGTGGACAATCAATGAAGTTTGAAAAAAGGAAAACACTAAATAATCCAAATATATCAATTTTATATTTGCAAAATTATTATTAAAACAACTATACAAATTTTATTATTAAACCTATCTTATTTCTTAGGACGTCGTGTCACCGTCGGCTTTTTTCTCTTGGTCGTCGAAAGTTGTTTTTCACTGCTTTCGTTCAGTTCTTTTTTCAATTGTTCCAACATTTTAGGTGTTAGTAAGCCTTGTGCTAGTAATCGTTCTGTTAAGCGTCTCTGTCCATCAAAGCTAATACTGTTTGACACTTGCTTTAAATCATCATCTTGCACATTAACATTTTCGGCTATATTGAAATAATAAATATTAAGTCAATTAATAAATTTTTAAATCAAACAAATATACACTTACATTTTCCTTTTTGAACTGGATAATCTTCTTCAATGTCATGATTCATATCCCCAGAACGTAACAAATGTGTAATATTTAAAACACCTTGTTGAATAATTTGATCTAATTCTGTCTGAAGATCTCGAACCATGTTAACGTCGGGAAAGAGATCAAGAAAACGATAACTGCAAAATCACATTTAGAAAATTTATTTAAATTGTCAAAGAAAAAATACTTTGTCATTGCATTAATGTTTAACTGTGCAACCCACAAGAGTAATCTTTTTTTTATCTGTAAAAATGAAAAATGATGCCAATACATAACAATTATATTTCTTGTGTAATCTGATAAAATTAATCATTTGCAATACATTTCTACAACTGTAATAACGGCTGAATATTCAAATATACAGGGTGTTCCAGTAGAATTTTAATTCTCAATATATCCTGAACAACACATTTAAAATAACTGTTTCTTTGGTTTCATCATTTGCCTAGAATGAGTATTTGTATTCTTGTAAAACATGGCACCTAAGAGAATTAGTAATGAACACCATATTCTTAAATGGTTTTACAAACATTGAGGAAGCACAGTTCTTCACAGAATGAGACCACACAAGGTTTGCATTTTCTTAACATGGTATTCATTGCCACCAGAAAAATTTAATGTTGGATGCACTTGGTCACTAAGATGTCTAGATATGAATAATTACATGGATTAATATCTAGACATCTTGGTGTCTAGATATTATTCAGACTGTTAGATCAGAAATGTCTGCATGTGGTTACTTTGCAACATCCAAAATAAATAAGTGTGTATGGATTAAATCCTAATAAACAAAGCACAAATATTGTTTAATAGATATTGAGTATGTTTAGTTGGGACACCTTGTATAATATACAGTAATTAAATTTTTATATATGTGTTTTCATTTGTTAAATACAGTTAAGTATTTCAGCTACACTTAAAAAGTATAATTAAATATTAAATCCTTATACAAAATAAGAGATCTTTCATTGAGTAAAATTTCATATAGAACTAAAACATCTTGTAAAATCAAGATCAGTGATGGCAAACCCATGACCCTGCATTAAATGTTTAGAAAGTATTTAGTTTTTATAAATTATGAAAAAATATTTGATAGATTTCTTTGTGTTTTCACATTACATATGCAATGCTAAAGCTGTCGAGAAGTCTCAAAGGCCATAAATTATGAACTTCGAATAGAAAACAATAGATTTCCCATTAAACAAAATATCCGCTTCTGTTATAACCAAATTATTTTCTTTTTCCTTACAGTATATAGTTTAGGCATTTTTTTGTCTATTTAACTTTTTAAAGATTTTGCTTATTTGAACTCAAATTAAATATTTGGCCTAGGATTTGGGGTTACTGAATTTCAATCCACCTTTGGGAAAGGTTCACTATTGCTGATCTAAATTATGGTAGACATTGATATATTTTATCCTTATATATACTCTTATTAAATCTTACCTTAACCACAAATATAAATCAAGAACATCAAATACAGATTCTAAATGAAGTAAATCCAAAATAGTTTTAGGTGGAGAAAATGGCCATCCGATATTTTTGCATAACCAATCAAACGTCAAAGGAACATTACTACTGTATTGTCTAGCAAACTGCAAAATAAATGAAATTTCCGTGTTATTAGATTTTGCTTTTAAACGAAAATAAAAATTATATTAAATTACCTTTAAAAACATAGTGCAAACAAATGGTAGCTTTCTATTAATTGGCGAACAGCAAAATACATATCTCGCTCGGAGAGGAAGGGGAACGTGTTGTATCATATCGGCTAAAAACTTAAAATCTTCAATATTACACATAAAGTAGCTTGATGTATCAACCTGGCAAAGACTAACAAAAATATCCTACAACAAAAATATTTAAATTTATATTATTATTTTCGATTAATTAATAATTAATCAAAAATAAATAATTACGGTTAGATTAGACAGTGTAGCATGCGGTAGATGATAAGCAAATAATTCAATTTGTTCGGCTGTTGGATGCAAACCAGCAGCAACAATCGGTTCTACTTCTCTCGAGAGAATCTCTCTTAAAATAGGTAAATCCTCTCCTCGAAACGTCGTCACAAATCCTTCTTCAAATTGTGTACCGAATCTCCCAGCTCTACCAGCAATTTGTAAAGCTTGAGAAGTAGGAATGGTATCCATTTCTTTTTCTCCTTTTTCATTTATTGTTGGTTTTATGATAGAATAAAAAATTATTCTTCGGATACTCCTGTTAAAATATTAAAATACGTATTTCATAATTATTTCAAGTTTTACATTTAATTCTATTTATATTATGAGTTCTCACAGATCTTGAGTCAATGTTTCTGAATATTTTCAAACAATTTCTTACGGAATTCAAAAAACCTATAATTTTCAGATAAATCCAATGAGCAAAAAATGTCTGGCTTTTTGAGGATTAGTTTTATTCTATGATTCAATTCAATCAGTAGGAAATCTTATGTTAAATTTAATAAAATCCAGCAATGAGGTTGTTTAACTTTCCCAGCAACATTTGGTGTGCCATCTGTTATCATATTTTATTAAAAAACGACAAAAAGCTTCATTTTCGGGGTAGGGATGGTTTTATAAAGAATTTTAAATACTAATAACAAGTGAAATCATCAATAAGTCCGACCCTACTGGAGATACACATGACCCCCATTATATCCCTACCCTCTCAACCTTTAATCACCAAAATTTAATAGCATTGATCTCCCTAATACACAAACCTCCCTGCAAAATTTCAGAGATTTTTGATAAAAAGCACAGGAGTTATTAAGCTTCAAATAGGGTAAATAAAATTGTTCCCTCCACACACACAGAAATTACCCCCAAATTTTTTTAGCATTTCTCAATGTTTCAAGGTGTTCTAAATCCAAAAATGAAAAAATCTTAGAGGGCGAGTATGGAGATCAATAAAAATAACCCACTGTTATATATAACAGCCGGGAAAGTAACAAGAGAATGGTATCATCTAGTGCCAATTCAATTTAATTAAACCTATTGGACATATAAATTCCCATTGCCGTCTGTGTGTCTTAATCTCGAAAGTGGAGTTAGATAGATGAAAGATGAGACCAGATGTGGAAACCTTAGGGGCAGGAGGCCCTTCCAATGCAAACCAGAAGTCATGTTATTTTAATTCAAAAAAGGTGCCCAAAATTACTTGGATATCAAACAAGAATTAGAATATACTATTATAAACAAATTTCAATAATGTTTTTTAACAAAAAAACAACAGTCATACACAAATTGGTTAGTCAGCAGAAGAAGGGAAAGAAGAGGATGAGAAGATAGAAAGAAGGAAAGAAAGGATCCCTCTGAGTGGCATATGTAAATTTCAATGATTGGCAAAAACTGAAATGATTTTCCAATTTAGCTATCCTCCTCCAATACAGGTAGCCCTCAATTTACGCCAATTCACAATAACGGTGCTGTGCAATTTGCCGTTTTGAGGTGTAATTCCCCGATTTTCCCTATGCTAGACTGATTTTCATTTCAGTGTTGATGTATTTACCAAGCTGCGACATTGTACATTCGTTAAAACAAAGATTTTTATTAAATATATTTATTTTTTCTGTTTAATATTATTGGGTATGTATACATTTGCATTAAATTAATATTAAAATACTAAACATTTAGGTACCCACGAGTCAAGTTATTAAACTGAATAGTCCAATAAATGGCATCCGAATCCATAGTACCAATGAATGTATCCCGTATCAGTTTGTTCAGGAAAACACCTTACGCAGTAACACTTCTGGCGATCACAAACTATTGTTAGTGAGACAAATCTACATCTTGTTGGCCAGACAATATCTACTTCTTGTCAGTCAGACGATATCTCTCTCCCCTTAGCCACCTTGAATTTTCCCGCTCAAACTGACCTTATATATGAGCTACAGCAACCGGTGGTTGACCAATCAGTGTCTCCGCTCGTCTGTAACTCTACATTGAGTTAATGTACCCTTTCAACTATGGAAAGTTTGATGGATGAACTTTGTGAGTTAGACAATGATTGGGAGTGAAGTGCAAATGTAAAAAGGAGCATCATCGCATCCATTCGACTATATTCCGAAATTCTCAATGAAAGAAAACAAAAATGTAAACAATTAAAGACGAATACTTTTTCTGAAAAATGTAAGAGATCCAAAACTAACATTTTTTAATAAAAACATTTTAAAAATTAAATTTATTTGTATTTCGTATTATATTGTATTAATAAACAAAATTATTTGCGTACTTTTCACTTATGTAGAACCTAACCCTATACCTCAGTGTAAATATGGGTTCATTTTATGCCAATTCGATTTGCGCCGGCTTTTGTAGGAATGAAACTGCGGTGTAAACCAAGGACTACCTGTACTCAAATTTTCAATATTTTGTCTTACACTCCTCAAACGTGGAATCACAACACCATGAGAAGGAATGCACATAGCAAGACTGGTAGAGGTGACAGAGATTTGTAAATGATTAAGTTTGCATATGCATCAGAACAAACAAAGGAAGAAGAAGGAAGTGAGAAAAAAGAAATCCAATAAGAAAAGGCAAAATGACAAACACATGAGGGTGTGAGTCTGGCAATGATTGGAAGCCATGTGATATCCAGCTTTGAGCTATAAAGACCAGAAGCCAACTTTGGATGTGAATGCTATCAGTGATAGGTTGTGGCAGCAGAACCTTCAAGGAAGTGTAGAAAATGCCTCAGAGATGACAGCTAGCTGAATACCATCAGTTAACAGCTGGGAACAAGACCTTATCCTGGAGCTGCAAAGCGCATTGGGATGATGTGAGTAAAATTCAGCAATGTGTGACACAATGGATGCAGAAACATTGTGAACATGCTGAAGATAGAGTGGATCATACAAGCACATGACAGAGTACAGAGACCAACAGATTTAACAAATGACCTGTTGGGACCCCACATGTGATGAAACCGCCTGTCACCATCAATCTGTGTCCACCATTTGCAATAAGTTGCACGAAGTCAAGCTACATGCACAGCAACAAGCAACAGGGGTACAATTATCCTCTTGACACAGGGCTGTAGGCCTGGCATGGTGTTGTTGTCATCACTGCAACTGAACCACTGAATGGAATTGGTTACTTTTTACAGATGAATCTCACTTCTGTCTTTGGAATAATGACAGCCATGGATGAGTGTAGCAGTATCCCAAGAAATGCTACTTGCCAGCATCATGATTTGGGTAGGTATCATGTTCTGTCAGTGGACAGCTCTGGTGCACATTTCCAGTACTCTGACAGTACATCACATGAATTATGGGACCAGTGGTTCGGCCACTGGTGCAAGCCACATCCGACATGGTGTTCCAGCAAGACAATGCCCAACTGCACATCGTATGGAAAACTATCACCAGCCTCAAATGAATTCACATTCTTCCCTGAACAGCAGTCTTGCCACATCTCTCTCCCATCAATCACTTGTGAGACCTTGTCCGACATGAGGTGCACTCAGGGACCACCTCCACCACACACCATAGATAACATGCACACCACAGCAAACGCATATTACAAAGCTGTGCATATTTTGATAATTTCATTAAAAAATTAAATAAATACAGAGGTACTTACAAGTTAAGTCCCATTCCAATGGCATCTGTTGCTACTAAAATTTTACAACTGTCATTGGGATCATTGAATTTTTTAGATTGTGCAAGTTTTGTACCTGAAACGACAAGAAAACAGATTAAAGTAATGATTAAAAAAAATTATTAAAACAGAAAAATCAAACGTGAAGAGTAATGAATACCTGGAGGCAGTCCACCATATATAACTGCACATTCGTGTCCTCTTTTTTCAATCTGTAAGCTCACATTATAGATATCATTTTTACTAAAACATACAATGCAATCGCCAGGCCTAACATTGTCCAATTTATCTTAAATATTATAAATAACTTTATTATATTTTAATTATAATTCAAAATTCTTAAATTGCATATTTAATTCTTACTTAATGCTGTATCTTCAATTGTTAATTTTGTCAATCTTTTATATTTTCTTACCTAGATGTATGAAAAGAATAATCATTTTTCAATTAATAACATTTAGTTAGCACTTCAATAAATTTATTTATTATTCTTACTTCTACTTCTTCGCCAACTGTTGCCACAATTTCTTTAACTAAATCAATAGCCGCTTCTTCTCCACAAACATGAATTTCATTAGCTACAATACCAAGTAATGCTCTTGTCCAAGCCCATCCTCTTCCCATATCTCTCATCATCTGAATTTCATCTATGATAGCAATTTCATCTAAACAAAATAATTATATAAACTTATTTACAAATACTAAAAATTATTATTATATATAAAACAAAAATATAATTACATGGTACAGTTACAGATGTCATTTCTACAGTACAAGATACATGACTAGATGGATTATCTTCTTTATTTACATAACAACGCTCCTCTCCAGTAATTAAATCACAAGGTGTTCCCTGCAATATATCTGATATAAGAGATTATCCCTTTAAGTACTAAATAAAACATATCATCTTAAAAATAACCTCAAATAAACTAATACAGTGGAGCTTGTTTAAGTCGATTGCTTGGAGAAAATTTCAGACTTCGAGTTAAAAAGGGATGTAATTTATAAGTCATTTAAAATTTCTGAAATAATTTTAACTCCATTACTTGGTAAGGTCATCAAAGATCTGATGACAATGTAGTTCATGAAGTTTTGTTAGTAAACAATTTTAAATGACTTCTAAAACTTCTCTCTGAGCTATACAATGCATATGAGAAAGCAATTAATGATGAATATAATAACTATTTTAAATTATCAATAGATCTACAATCACGTCACATTAATACAAATTGCTAGGGAAACAGTAGTTAGTTTGCTTTATCAAAGGGGTCCAGGCAAAATTGTATAATTTAGGGAGTTAAGGATTAATAAGCAATTTAAATTTAAATATTTTGAATTAATTTAGTAATAAAGTTATTTTTATACATTTATTCACAAAAATAAATAAAATTAATGATCTAAATGCTTTTCAAATCAAACAAAATCAGACAGTATTTGCCATGTAAGTGTGAAGCAGTATACTGTATCAGAGCAGTTAAAAAATACAAAGCTAAAAGAAATCTGTGATTTTTTTTTCTGCTGAAGATTGCTTGAAAAAGAAAAATTTTCTGGTGACAAAATACTAAAAAAGTCCAGCAACGAGTTGCATACTTTCCTGGCTATTAGGAGTTCTTATTTAGAAAATAACTTTTATAATTTTAATTAAAATATAACCTAATAAAATTGTGTGTGGCATCGCCTGTTATGATATTTTGTTATAAAAGCTTTTTATATTTTTAATTATTATGAAATTGCAAAAAGCTTAATTTTGAGGGTAGGGATGAGTTTTATAAAAAAGTATAAATGTTAATAATGTGTATAAAGTTGTCATTAAGTCTGACCCTACTGGAGATATGACAGACAATCCTCTTTATCTCCCCACCCGCTTGACCTTTAGCCACCAAAATTTAATATCATCAATGCCCCTCATAAATAAACCGCCGTGTCAAATTTTGTTACTTAATCTTTACCCCATCCTGAGATATTAAGCAAAATACACACCAACACACACCCATGGAATTTTTTTGCTGTATTTTTGACTTTTTCGGATTCGGAGAGTCTCAAAACGTAAAGATTTGTAAAAAAACTCGGAGTGTCAAATTTGACGAAATTCCAATACTTACTCTTGTTATGTATACATAACAGCTGGAAAAGTAAACGGAGTCAAACCTGGCATTATTGTATGAAACCCCAATACGCAAACTAGCATGTGTTTGCATGGAATTTCATCCATTTCGAGAGATGGTATCCTTAAATTTTAACCCCTATTTTCTGAGTACAGTAGAATAGTTCAATAAAACCAGATTGTTTGATGAATTCTGGTAAAATTTTTGTTCACTTTATTGCATGAAAATTAACATTGTGACAATGGTGTTTTGCCAAGGCAATGGCAAAATTTGCTTTAACGCGAGAATTTGCTTTATCGGTGTTTGTCTGAAGGCGCACAAACTGTACTATTACTATTTAGCCTAACTTTTAAAATAAATACTTATGTTAGTAATTATAAATATTAAGAAAAAGGAACTCTTAACAAGTAAGGTTATATAAATATGATATTTACAGGGTTCCTACTCAAATTTTTGTTTTGAATTCCCTGACTTTCCCTGATTTTCCCTGACCAACTTTGTCCAAATTCCCTGACCCTCACATTTTTTAGTGTGGAATATCGACATAATAAAACAGCATTTACTGTTAACATTGAGTACATTTAGCCCTCTTTTTGCACAGTTGATATGCTTCAAAGACTGCCACATTAAAAAAATACAGTACATACATCCTGTAGAAAAATGTTTGATAGAATCCACAATTTCAATGTAATGAAAAAATAAGCAATTTACAAACAAAACACAAGCTTTTTATTTTATCATCATTTATCATTATTATTTGTATGTAAATCTANGCTCTACAGGTACAGAATGTTATTGACAGAGAGGACGGTCTCGATAAAACTCACGCCTGCATACTCTTCTGCCTCCAATCAATCCCTGCAGGTCATTGCTAAAAAGCTTCCTATCCACCTACAGCTTCAGCAGACTGCTAAGCGATATTTTATCTCCATAGGGTTTGAGATCTATATTGGAGGCTTCTTCTTTCCTACGAGAAATTACGAGGTTAACAGGAAAGTAAACAAACTTTTACACCCTGCCCACAGGAGGGAGCTATATGCAAGACAGGATTATTTGATAGACATGGAAGTTTTCACCGATGGTTCGAGGACTTGTAATAGAACTAAGTGTGCTTTTTCTGTGTTTTCAGGAGAACAAAAAATTTTCTTTGACACATGTGTTCTTCACCCAGAGTGCTCGGTCTTTCAGGCTGAGGTCCTTGCCATTCTTTTGGCAATTCATTGGTGTGAGGAGAACCTTGTTGGAAGGACGATTAACATCATCACGGACAGCTCTGCGTTTGTGCATGCCCTGAAAAATAAGGGCTGTCCTCATCCATTTTGCAAGGACATTCTCAACATCATCTCAACTAGCTCCAACAACTTTTCTATTGAATGGACGAGGGCACTGTGGTATTCCAGGAAACAAAGAGCTGGCCAGCTGGCGCGGGCTGCTGCCGACTGTCGTGACATCTTACCTGACTACTGTATTCTTCCAGTCTCCAGACTTAATCTTTTCGTTCGCAAGGAAATGATTGAGATTTGGCAGCACAAGTGGGAGTCTATTCCCTCGGATGGAGGAAGGAAGCTTCAGGAGCTTCCTTCCAAGTATCAAGCAACATCTCTACAGTCAGTGGTTTAGTTCAAACTTTCAGGTGACTCAGTTTCTCACGGGACACAGGCAGTTCAAGAGATATCTCTGTTGATTCCTTAAGACAGGTTCAAAGTTGTGCAGCTATTGTGGGGAAGAGGCATCATTGAGCCCTATATCTATGCCTTTTCAATGATTCATGATATAAGGCAACTTGTAAAACTTAATTTGCATGCTAAAAATACGAATTGGTCCTATGATCTGAGCCAGGACCAGGACCGTGTAGTAGATTTTCTCAGCATGATGCAAGTCTTCGAAATGCCGCCCTTAGATGTTTTTTCTTTAAAATAACCTTCGATTGTGATTTTTTAAACTGCACAAAATGTATGAATACTATTTTTATTTCGAAAATATAAACTACTGTAAAATATTGATATCAACTATATAAAATTCTCAGTTATGACAATATTCGGATACAAAGTAATTAAGTTATTTTGGCACAAATTATTTAAAATATCCATAGGTTTCATAAAATATGGTAGCATTCTGGATTATCTGATTTACTGATTTAAACACAGCACAGCCGCTCGCTACTTCTCAAGACAAACTAACGTTAAAATCAAATGTCAATAATTTAATCTCAAAGCAGAACTATCAACACGTTACACGTGCAGTTGTCTTTTATGATAATTGCCGCCTCAGCTTTTAAAAGCGGTCGCGAGTTATATTACAAACAAAAACAATAGCTTTGCACTGTCATTTTACATTTAATTGAAAGAAGGGGCTGCCTCCTAGTTCCACTCAAAGGTACAACCAGGAGGTTGAAAAGATGGTGAAAGAAGAGGAAGAGAGAAGGCAAGTAATGAAAAGGAGAGTAGGATGATGATAGGATCATAGGGCACTGCATCGGTAGTTTATTAAATACAAAACAGAATACATATGTACAAATTATATACAATATGCACGTAATACAAGTGACAACAAATAATGACTAATGCAATTTGAACACATATAAATAGAGAACATTATAACGTATTTACAATGAATGTGTAGATGCGCCTGACCGGTGAAGACCAAACTACTTGTTTGGTCAAATACAAAAAGAAATCTCGATTACATCACTACAAAATAAGTGAAATAATGCACCGAACTTGGGTGACGAAATTATGACAATATCAGGAATGGTTATGTACTGTACATAAGGAAAATGAAAACATAGATACAATGTATATAATATATGATACTTCCGATTGGGGTATTAAGACTATTCCAGAAGTGGTTAGTGACCCACAAGACAATTCTGGATTTTATAACATATGTCTAATTTACCGTGCAACAACCATTTGGTTGACGTTAAAATTAAAGATATATAACTAAGGATGAAACCACATTTACCAGAAACTGCACATTGATTGCAAAGCATTAACGACATAAACCACTAATAAAGAGGTACAAAAATTATATGCTTGCCGGAGTCAACAGTTTGTTCACATTACACACACACCGCTTAGTAACAATTATAAACTAAATGTAACCAGGTCGCTTCCCGTTTAGCACTTAGTTTCACAGCTGAAGTCTTAGTTTCCATCATCGTTTCTGTTACCTTGAAGGTCCCTTGGAGGGAAAAGAGCCTTGGTTTCGTTGATGAATTTTTCAAGAGCCTTGTAAATGTTTTTATTGTCTATGGAGGTGCATAGTGAACAAGGCCAATTAAATCCTTCGTTTAGCACGAACATACTGTAATGAGATTTATCCTTTCTGTGTTGAAGAGAGCAGAGTCAAATAGGAAGTAATTAGTGTCCTGTCGAAGGCGGCGGCGCTGCATCAATGTAAGGGAAGTGGAATTTTTCAGCTCTTGGATTTTTAAGTTCCTTTGATGAATTTTAATTATTTGTACTAAGTGTTATATATTTTATGAAAGCGTTTTCTTGGGAACCAAGAATTCGTCAAGTTTGTTAAATACGGACGTTCCATTACAAACTAACACTCTTTTAAAATTTTGTTTAATTTTCGGATTCGATTTTCCGAACATAAACCGATTAACCGGAATCAGATATAATGGGTTATCCGCAATGCTAATCTTCCAATTTTTGGGGTTCTGGGTTCAGTACTTTAGAAGATATTGACTACTTCCGGCGATTTTTTCGGCACCGTGTAACTTCCTTCCGGTGGGCTACTTCTGAAAGATATTCGGGTAATTCTTAGAAGACATAA